TTTTGGAACAGTGCCCGGGGCTGCAAAGTACTCGGCCAACCAAGGACGCACCTCCTCACCCATTGCTAACTTCGCTAAGTATTCTGTTTCATCCTCCACTTTGAACCCCAAATATTCATTCAAGGACTTCCCATCAAAAACCACCATCTTATCCCGCACCTTCGTCGCCTTTGTGTCCTTAACCACATGAGAAACATTGCAATAGAACTCTTTTACCATATGCTCATTGGCATCAATACATCTCTCCTTGAAGAAGCCCCAGCCATCTCTAGTACGGAATTGCTCTTGCACCTTTGGGTTGAAAGGTAGAAGATCACTGTCAATGAATTGTCTCTCCGGGATCAATTTCCTCATGGGCCACCACTCTCTAAATTTGTGGAACGCTATCTCACTCACAAATCTGTCTGCCCAGGCTTCAGGTATTCTGGTTCGATCAACTCCCCCGACTTGAGGCTCACCCCCCTCACCATATCCTGCACTCTCCCCAGATAATGAAGCTGTGGGGGAGGTGGAGTATTGTTCTTCACTTCTTGCTACGAACTCATCAGACGAATCCGAAACTACGTTGACCAGTCTCTTGGAGGTGGGTGAAGGTGGAGGAGTATCATGTAATTGGAGTGGGGCGGTGATGTGAGTGGGGGCTGATTCTGAGGTGATGCTCCGGGAAGGTGCATACTCACTCCCCGTAGAGTGGGAGGCAGCCCTATCAGCAGCCCGTATCAGCTTACGGGTCTTTTTAATGTTTGCCCGGGCCTGGGGAGTGAGTTTAGCAATTCTCTTTCCCTTTCCCCCTCGGGAGGAACCACCTCTCCCGGGTTGTTGTTGTTCTTTACCTCCTCGTTTCTTAACCATGATCTACAAAAAATGCACGTTTAACATTGTTAGTTTAAGCACATGCAGTGAATTAGATGAATCAGATAGGAGGGGAACACAATTGATTTCAGAATAGAGAAATAGTGTATCAGAACAGGGGGTGCGGACCACGCAAAAGAGTCACGCGGTCACGCTGGGGTAGCGTGGACCGCGTAAAACTGGAGCGCGGCCGCACTTGGCAATTATCCCAAATCAACCCCTCTGAATCTCCCCAACACGGTCCTCACTGATTTGTAGCACGATCGCGTTGGGCCAGCGCGGACCGCGCGAAAATGTGACGCGGACCACACAGACAAGAAGCAGCACACACAGAAAACGTGGCGCGGACCGCGTAGAAAGGACGCGCGGCCGCGCTGGGCCTAGGGTTTTAACTGAGTTAGGGTTTATTCACTTGAGTCCCTTTTTGATCAATTTATGGGTCCTAATTGTCCCTCCTAAATTAACCATCTTTGAATTCATGCCCAATGTTCAAAACTAACACTAGAAACTAACCTAATAATTAACCCCAAGAAAAATGAGAAGAAAATAAGAAGTTATACTACTGGGAAGCAACCAAAATAATTAAAAATTAAAACTATGAATGAAATTAGCAAGGAATGTTACCAGGGATTATGAAGATTCAACTACTTGAAGCAAAAGTCTCAGTGAATAGTAAAAATTTACGCTCAGGAAGTCACAGTGCGTAAAGGGTAAAATGAGGCCTAGGGTCTCTATTCATAGAAAACCTGTGGGACCCATCACTTACCTACCAGCGCGGCCGCGCAGAAATGAACGCGGACCGCGCTGGATTTCTATCCTTCATATTGAACTGAGTGCCCACGCGGACCGCAGTGTTTTGTGACGCGGCCGCGTGGGAAACTTCAGATAGCATGAACATTTGGGCCTTCCCAGCGCGGACAGCACAAAAGTGCTCCGCAGCCGCACTGGCAACTTCAGAGACTCAACTCCTCATTGCACCAGCCTACACGGACCGCACTGTTTTGTAGCGCGGCCACGTTGGCAAACTTCAGAGACCTGGCATCTTTTACTTTTGTTCTGCACTGGTTCCACATTATCCTGTAACATCTCACAAACCATTAGCTCAAAAATCCTAGTCTACAAAGAAAATCAAAGAAAATAGAAAAAGACATGGGTTGCCTCCCAAGAAGCGCCTGATTTAACGTCACGGCACGACGCATGTTACCATCTCATCATTTCAAATGAAGGAGGGCCACCGCGTGGCTGTCATCAATCTTCCCCAAGTAATGCTTCACGCGATACCCATTAACCCGGAATACCTAACCATTTTTGTTTTTGAGATCAAGAGCACCAAAAGGAGTCACAAATACCACTTCAAATGGGCCACTCCACTTAGACTTGAGTTTGCCCGGAAATAACCTCAACCGGGAGTTGAAAAGAAGAACCATATCACCAACCTTGAATTCCTTTCCCCGAGCATATTTGTCGTGAAGGTACTTCATCTTGTCCTTTTTACAAGGACGAGCTGGAGTAGGCATGAAATCTAAACTCATCAAGCTCATTCAATTGCTCCACACGGAGATTGGCTGCAACATCCCATTCCAAGTTCAACTTCCTCAATACCCACATAGCCTTGTGCTCAAGTTCCACCGAAAGATAGCAAGCCTTACCAAACACCAACCGATACGGAGACATACCAATTGGAGTCTTGTAAGCCGTCCGATAAGCCCAAAGAGCATCATCCAATTTCTTCGACCAATCGGTCCTATTAGCATTCACCGTTTTGGACAAAATACTCTTTATTTCCCGATTTGAGACTTCCACTTGACCGCTAGCTTGTGGATGATAGGGGGTGGTCACTTTGTGGTTAACTCCATACTTAGCAAGCAATGAGTCGAAAGCCTTGTTGCAAAAATGGGACCCCCCATCACTAATAATGGCCCGAGGAGTACCAAAACTCGTGAAGATACTCTTTTTCAAGAACGCTACAACACTTCGGGCTTCATTGTTGGGTAAAGACACTGCTTCGACCCATTTTGAGACATAATCGACCGCCACAAGAATATAAGTGTTACCACAAGAGCTCACGAACGAACCCATGAAATCGATGCCCCAAACATAAAAAATATCCACCTCAAGAATCGTATTGAGGGGCATCTCTTCTTTGAAATACCGCCGGCTCTTTGACATGCGTCACATCTCTTCACCAAGTCACTAGCATCCTTGAACAATGTCGGCCAATAGAATCCGCAACTCAAAACTTTTGAGGTCGTCCTCACCCCGCCCCCCCCCCTCCCCCGGTGATGGCCACCATAGGGAGAAGAGTGACAAGCCTCCAATATGCTCATTTGTTCACTTTCCGATACACATCTTCTTATCACTCCATCCGTGCAAATTTTAAACAAATACGGATCATCCCAATAGAAATCCAAGCTATCCCGCTTGAGTTTCTTCCTTTGGTTGGAAGAGAGCTCACACGGGACATTACCAGTCACAATGAAGTTGGCGATGTCCGCGAACCATGGCATATCACACATAGAAACAGAAAGAAGTCGCTCGTCGGGGAACCTATCATTAATCTCAATACCATCACATGGTCTCCCCTCTTCCTCTAACTGGGACAAATGGTCCGCAACTTGATTCTCGCTTCCCTTTCTATCCATAATCTCTAAATCAACTTCCTGAAGGAGTAGCACCCACCTCATCAATCTTGCTTTCGAATCCTTCTTAGTCATCAAATACCGGAGGGCTGCATGGTCCTTGTGTATGATCACATTTGCTCCCATAAGATAAGGTCGAAATTTCTCCATCGCGAACACAATAGCCAATAGCTCTTTTTCCGTCACTGTGTAGTTTCTTTGGGCCTCATTCATCGTCTTGCTAGAATAGTACACAGGATGGAACATCTTTTTGATCCGTTGACCTAACACCGCACCCACCGTTACATCACTCGCATAGCACATAAGTTCAAAAGGCAAATCCCAATTAGGTGCGGTGATGATAGGAGTTGTGGTCATCTTGTGTTTCAATAGCTCAAAAGACTCCATGCACTTCTCATCAAAGATAAACTTGACATCCTTCTCCAACAATTAACAAAGCGGGTTCACAATTTTTGAAAAATCTTTAATGAATCGCCGGTAGAACCCGGCATGACCAAGAAAGCTCCTCACCCCTTTGACAGAGGTAGGGGAGGGAGCNGCAGATCCAGGTTCTTTGACTCAGCCCTACTATCCTTGAGGCGAGGCGATTCTTCAGAGACTTCGAGGTATATCTGCCGCGTCCGCAGACCGAGGAGTCCCTCTCTATTCTCTCTTGTAGTTATAGCCCTTCTGTATTTTTTTTGACTTAGACATTCTGGATTTAGAGCACTATGTAGTATCTATAGCTTGTGATTTCATGAGATTCCGGGTTTTGGGAGTTGTTTTTGTTGAGAGTTTATATTGTATATGCCGAGCGGCATTTTAAACCTTCATTATGTTTTATTCCGCAGTTTTTGGCTAGTTTTTATCATTTGTTTTCTTTTCCACAATTTGTTAGGCTTACCTAGTCGTAGAGACTAGGTTCCATCACGAGAGTTCACGGAGGGCGAACTAGGGTCGTGACAAGTTGGTATCAGAGCTCTAGGTTCATAGTAGTCATGAATCACAAGCCGGTTTATTAGAGTCTCGCGGATCGGTACAGAGATGTCTGTACTTTTCTACGAGAGGCTATGTAGCTGTTAGGAAAAAATCCACTTCAATTTATTTTCTTCTCGTGCGAGATTTTTGATATTATAATTCTAAACTTCTATCTTCTATTCTCTCACAGACGGTGAGGACACGTGCTACCAGAGAGATCAGGCACCCGCGCCCCCTACTGGAGCCGTCAGAGGTCGGGGCCGGGGCCGGGGCCGGGGTAGAGTCTGAGGACGCGCACGTGGTGTAGCCAGAGCACCCGTGCGAGCTGCCACCGAGGAGCCACCAGCAGCTCCCGCCGGAGCCCAGGCACCTGATACGCCTACTACTACTACTACTCCAGCACTCCAGCAGACTCTTGCATAGTTCATGAGTATGTACACCACTCTAGCTCAGGCAGGGTTGCTTTCCCTTGCTGCAGCCACATCCTAGGCCGGGGGAGGAGCATAGACTCCTGCCGCCCGCACTCTTGAGCTGCGAGTTCATGTTGATCAGGTCCCAGAGATTATTCCTGTACAGCCTGCAACCCCAGATCAGCCCGAGGACAGGGCAGCGGCTTCCAAGGATGAGCATCGGAGGCTTGAGAGGTTCAAGAAGTACAAGCCTCCTGTATTCAGTGGTCTAGCATCAGATGATGCTCTGGGATTTCTAGAGGAGTGCTACCGTATCCTCCGTACCATGGTTATATCAGGATCCCTTCACTACCTTCCAGCTTCGAGGAGCCACCTATGAGTGGTGGCGTGCTTATGAGTTAGACATTCCAGATGAGGCAGCTTCCCTGACTTGGACTCAGTTTTCAGATATGTTCTCGAGAGAGTTTGTCCCTCAGAGCCTCAGGGACGCATGGCGCAAAGAGTTTGAGCATTTGTGCTAGGGTACTATGACTGTCTCGGAGTAGCTGTCTGTTTCACTATCTTGGCTTGTTTACCGTAAAAATGGTAACAATGATTAAATTTGTAAATGGGATTCTAAAAATACGTGATATATTTTTATGCTAATTGTTAGAGCAGATGGTGCTAAGAATATGAAGTTTAACGATAAAATACAAGCTAAAACGGGGCAATAATCAAATCGAAGGGCTTGCTGCCCTGGCTTCGGACTAGTCGATGGAGGACCTCGAGGCCAATATCAGGGCTCGATCTCGAGCTATCGGGGGATAGTGGGAATGGGGTAACAGTTAGAATATGATCGAGAAAGGCTCTTTATGGCCAATATCAAGCAATAAATGCAGAGCAAGTATGAAATTAATGGTGCTAAGAGTAGCCTCGAGCTAGTACGAACAAGCCAATTAGAGAAGAAAGAGAGAGAGATATTATTGATATTGTGTAGAATAGTTGGAGCTCCATCCTTTAGGGTGTTAACGACTCCCCTTTTTATAAGAGGGGGGAGCCCTAACTTAGTACAAGATACGTTGCGTGATAAAGGATATGGGATGGGACACCCAACTAGCGTTATGACGTATGTGTGGGCCGACGTTGAGCTGCTCAAATAGACTTAATCAACCCCGGATGTATTCTCCGAGGGCTTTCTGCGTTCGTCGGGGTTTCGGTCGACGTTATCCTTGGCTGGGTGTCGACAGATCTTGAGGGAAGTGACCGGCTCGAGGTCCCGGGCCTCTGGGTGATCCTTTGAAGCATTTTGTCGATGAGAAATCGGCCCTCCGATTTTACTGTGTACAGATAGTCTCCGCGTTTCTTAGAGGGAAGCGATAAGAAATGTTTTTGACACCCCACTTCCCGGGCTCCCGAAATGACATCGTGCTGATGGCGCAACCCCTTTTTACAAGTGCCGAGGCGTTTCGCCTTTTTGCTTCTCCAGGATTATCCAAAATATCGTGACTCTTCGTTCTTCGGGGTCGTGTTATTGCTATCGATTCAGCTTCTATGAACGTATTAATTGCGCCTGCTGTTACGCTTTTCGAGGATGATGATGGCGTCGTCGGTTACTCTGCCCTCCCCCTATAAATGGGGCTTCTTGTGATCAACTTTTCATTCAAACTTCCTTTGATACTCATCCTTTCATCCTTTCCTGCCATTTTTGGTCTTTGCTGTCTCGTTATGTTTGAGGCCCATGGCCTTAAGATCTTTCGTCATGTCTGTCATGACCCAACTCTCGATCCCTTTTTGGTTGGACGAAGTTGCGCCGCTATGATGCTATTATTGTTGTTGTTGTTGCTATTGTTACTGTCTCCAATTGCTCGAGGCGATGAAGTAGAGGTCCGATTTCCTCCGACCTGGGGAGATACTCGGATTATACACCGCTGCTCAAGAAGGGGCTCGGATTATGTTGTTGTAAGTTCGGCAATAGCTTGGCCATGGTCATTCAACTCTTTGTGCAAATGGATGACCGAGGGGTCACCTTGGGGTACATTCGCTCGGCTTTGCCATGCCGAAGAGGTGTCGGCCATTTCATCAAGTACATCATGCCTCTTGGTATGAAAGTTTCATAAAGTTCCCACCGGCCAATTGGTTCAAAATGCACTGATTCGTGGTGTTGATGCCCCTATAGAAAGTCTGCTGGATCATCGCCTCAGTCATGTCGTTGTTAGGGCACTCCTTCACCATTGTTCTATATCGCTCCTAGATCTCGTGCAATGGTTCCGTTGGCATTTGCTTGGAAGCTAGAATCTCGTCCCGAAGAGCTTCCATATGACTTGGAGAAATGAACTTGGCAATAAATTTGTCCGCCAATTCATCCCATGTGGTGATAGAATGATTTGGTAACCTTTCTAACCAGTCCAACGCTTTACCCCGAAGAGAAAACGGGAAAAGCCTCAATCGCAACGCATCCTCTGACACGTTTATTTGTTTGCTGCTCCAGCAAGTATCTACGAACCCCTTCAAGTGCTTGTATGCATTTTGGTCGGAGGCGCCCGTAAAATATCCCCTTTGCTCAAGCAAGGTCAACATGACATTTGTGATTTGAAAGTTCCCCGCCCGGATTCGGGGAGGAACAATGGCACTCGCGTACCCTTGATTTGGAAGAACTCTTGGGACTGCTCTTGGCAGTGCTGGAGGAGGGTCTGGAATAGGATTGTTTTCATTTGCGTTGGCCGGACGGCCCCTACGTGGAACTTGAGGTGGTATAACCTCCTCGGGTTCAAGATCATCTACCTCCTCCCCCGCATTCACGTTGCCAAGAGGGTCGTTTGCATTGAGAGCCATAGTACCTGATTGATCGACAAAAACAAAATTAGTAAACAAGAAGGAAAGAGAAGAAAAACACAAAACTAGCTACACAGATAGTCAACACCGTAAGCTCCCCGACAACGGCGCCAAAAAGTTGATCGCGGCCGTCTCAACACTACACAATGGTAGAAAGAGTGGGTAGCAATAACTAATACCCGAATAGTGGATCGGGGTCGAAATTCCACAGGGAGCTAGTAAAGGAGTTATAATATCGGTCTAGCCTAGAGTTGCGGTTGTGCTTCTAATATCACTTCTAACATTTTTGGTTTTGATTTTTATATCTTCTGCTTTAAGACTAATAGATGAAGCTAAATTATGCTATGGAGATATTGCTAAGTTGTAATTAATATAGAGAAAGGGACTAGGGTCGTGGCGTTGCCTAGGTGGTTAACCAACGAGTAGATGATACTAAGGATAAGATGATATACTTGGGGCTTATGCTATAACCGTTGCACAATTGTACCCACTCTCACACCTCTTGGTAGAGAGAGTGATTTTGCCCAATTGACTCTCTCGAGACCAATTGGGTAGGCCAATTAGACCAAGCAACTAGGGTTCAAGTAGGGTGATTATTCTCTCGAGATTTAACACGTTAATTGGGACTACCATTCCTCATAGGTCCATCCCAATTCCTTGTTGGGTCAATTTTGAGATCATGGACTCTCTTTCTCAAGAAGAGTTAAACCCACAAAGGTAAAATCAGTGTTTGCAACCACCAATTCTAATTTAAAACCTAAAATTAACCCAAATAGCAAACACCCAATATCATCCTAACCTTAGATGGCAACACCCATCAATTACCCACACTAGGGTTGAGCCACAACCCTAGCTAATAGGTTTAGCTAGACATAATTAGAGAAGAAACATTAGAAATAGAAGAAGAAATAACCATATTAATTAATAGCTAATGTTAAACTACAATATTCTATGATGAAATAAAGCTAAAATGCCCAAAATAGGCTAAAACATATGTCTCACGAGCGCAGCAGCTATCTGATATACAAAACTTAACCTAAAATTGGTAAAATGTCCTACTTATACCGGGCTGGAAAACTGGACAAAAATACCCCTGCGGGTTAGCGCGGACCGCGCAGAAATGTAGCGCGCCCGTGCTTGAAGACGGGCGCGGACCGCGTATAAATGGAGCACGGCCGCGTGGCAGTACTTTGGAAAAAACACCATCTCTCTGAATCTCATCCACGCGGACCGCACTGATTTGTAGCGCGGCCGCGTGGGACTTTTCCTTGAATTTGCAAGCCTTTGAACTTCACAAGCGCGGACCGTGTAAAAAGGAGCGCGGACCGCGCAGGATGCCCTTGAATTAACAAGCCTCTGAATCTCCTGGCGCGGCCGCGTGGCAAAACAGTGCGGTCCGCGCTAGGTCTTCTTGTTCCCCACTTCACTTGGTCTTCGACACTTGGCAGGTTTCACTCCGTTTTGAGCCGATCTTTGACATTTGTCATCTTGTCGCTCAAACGTGCAATCAGGCGCAACTTGTAAGCATTTTGGGACTGTTTTGCAGCAATTCATAACAAAAGCAATAGCAAGTAGGGGTATAATCATGTTAAAATCCTAACATATCAACCCGAAAAATTGCCAGACGCCCAAGGGCAGGAAATAAAAACCACTATCGCCGGCCCGAACGGGCTCAAGGGTATATTAAGCTCGAGTCGGATCCCGACTCGGAGACTGAACCCGAGGACAATTCAACCGCAATACGCGTAAAGGCACGGCCCAAACGATACTATCATCAGCCAAGACAAATCTCCAGGACACGCGCCCGCAAAATCGTTTCGATCCAGGAGCACAAAGGGCCATCGCCCTCAGCCCATGCAGTCGGGAAGGAGCCGGAAAGCCAATTGAAGCTCAAGTCGCAACACGACTCGGGGACTAGATCCAAAAATAGTCTACGCGATCGAAAGCGACGACAGATAAAAGGTACAAAAAGAATAAAGCTTTAAAGTTCTTCTTATATTACATACGAAAAAACATTCTCCACCTATAGACACGCCCTGCACGCACCAAAAACAAAGCTACAAAACGGTGGAATCTATATTCTGCGCTAAAGGGCTGCAGCTCGTCAAGTTCACCCTCCACAACGTCTAGGAGAAGTGACCGAGCATCACACTCATCCGCCCTTGCTCGAGCCAATTCCTCCGAGAGAATGAAGCCCCTCGCACTAACCTCCTCGAATACCTCTCTCCGGGATCGGCAGCGAACATATTCCTCGATCCTCTTCTCACGATTGAGGGCTCGCCTCAACTCGGATTGGGCATCGGCAGCATCCTTTATGGAAATCGCCATCTCACGATCAGCCCTGGTTCGGCTTAATGCCGCTTCCACCCGGGCATCGATTATCTCGGCCCTGACCTTCGAGAGATCAGACTCAAGTCTCTCGATCATATCCGCCTGAACATTGGCGTTGTCACAGGTCAAGTTGAGTTGGACCTCGAAGGCAGGGACCTTAGCCGAGGCGCTCATCTCCTCTAGAGCTTGATCCTGCACTTGAGCTCTTAGCTCCTCGCAAGAGGCCCTGACGCGGTTTACGTCGCCTTTATGGTACTCCAAGGCCTCCGCCTTTTTTGCAACTGATACGGCAAGAGGGCATTAGCCTTAAGTTTAGAAAGAAGCGGAACAAGCACTACAAGAAATTACATGCTCCATCAAATAGCTTTCATAGTTTTAACTCCGGTACGCCTCATATCGCCAATGCTGCAGCTCAACTTCCTTCTTCTTGCAAAGAAGCCTAAGGGATTCACCCTCATCCAGAATTCTCTGGAACTTGGCCCTTTGGCGGAGCAGCTCGAACTTAAGCCTATTGCAAGCCTGCGCAGGAAAGATTCAATGAGAGGAGGAAGATGCGGGATACAAGGAAACTCTGCACAAACTCACCACAAAGTGAAGACGACGGATTTCCTCCAAATCAGAACGCGCTCCTGTTGATCTTGCTCCTACGGCCCCAGAAGAGCCGGCCCCGGGCATGACGAGCTTGCTCAAAGGAACCGTTGGCCGGGAATCAGGCGCTCCGAGAACAGCAGACTCAGGCGATGCCCCGCCCTCAAGAGTACGAGCCCGACCAGCACCGCCAAAGGCTCCTTCGCATTGCGGGCTTCAGTCCCTCTTATTACTGCCATCCCTCGGCCAGGAGGCCGGCGTCTCCATCTCCTCTCTGGAAAAGCGTTGTCTCGCCCCAAGGAACCACCCGGTATCTGCAAATGGCAATCTAGCACAGACGAGATGGGAAAATGTTACCGCGGGTATACGTCAGCAGGGGAAAAGCTACATACGCACGTACCTTGATGTTCCGCTCCCCACCTGACGCGAGACATATCTCGCCACCTGCGTTCGTCGCAAGACGAATGAGTCACCAACCTCCGAACCCATCCAGGCAGATCATGGACATCACCCGGCGTCCACGAAGTTGCTGCAACAAGGGAGATAACATTGTTATTTAGTTGATTTTCGCTATGAGCAAAATCTGAAAGAGAGACAAAGCGCCTCACTCACGTGCATGATTCCACCCTTCGGGAAATGGCGGAAACTCCACAGGAATAATATCGGTCGTCCAGACTCGGACAAACCAACTGGCCCATTCTCGGTCTTCGCCTCCCTTGTCGTCAACAACGAAGGGTGTGGGCGAACGATCCCTCAGGGTTAGCAGGCCTCGGTGATGAAAAGGCCGATATAACCTAATGAGATAGTCAAGCGTGAACTCAAGCCCGGCTTTCTCCGCGAAAAATCTCATCATCAGCACCGTTCGCCAAAACGACGGATGAATCTACGCCAGGGTAACTCGATACTTCAAACAAAAGTAAAGCACAACCCTATCAGGGGGGGGCCAAATGCAAAAGGGTATAGGTACACACTCAAGAACCCATCAGCAGAGTCTGCGATGCCTTTATCTGGGGAAAGCGCCTGCAGCGTTACCCCCTCGCTCCACCCGCAGTATCGCCTTGCCATATTCAGGTGTTCCTCTCTTATCAAGGACACCATCTGCAGAGCGAAATCCTTCGGTTCTCGAGCGCCAGGAACAGCACTCTCCGCTCTTCGCCATGACAGTTCCGAAGTGGTCGCCATAACTATGGTAAAACTGACAAAATAAAGCAAGGGTGAGCACAAACATGTTTTCGCACATTAAGAGATAAGGAGCCCTATACCGAAACAGAAGTACAGCTACCCAAAAAAAAATGAAGTCTCGCAAAAAGCCGAAGCCGCCCCGCTTATATACAAAAAGCAACGGCGAGTTGCCTACTCGAGGTAAGCTCCAGGAAGCCAACGGCCTCGATACAAACCGACTGGTTGATACCCGATCCAGGAAACATCCTCCAACAAGGGTCAAGACTCGAGGGGCCACGTATATTATCTCCATGCTCGAGGCAGCATTTTGCAACGGGAGCCCCCAGCTCCAAGAAATAGAGCCTCGATGAGCTCCAAAGCACCGGTGCTAGACGCAAGGCAAGCTCCTGGTCTCGTGATCCCCTCTCCAGAGGAGTAAACCCCGGAAGCCCAAATCACCAAAGCTCCACGAGGGCCCAAAGAGGCTCCCAAACATAGGCAAACTCCTCGGCGGAAGCCAACCTTATAATTTCTAAAAGTATATCTACATCAAGCTCAATAGGGCCCCCCGGGCACCCGAAGATGACCTTCATCCGGGATAACATTTCCGAAGGCCCCGGAATTCGACGCGCGATCTCCAAACAAATTAGCAGGCCTCGACAGCTCGAACTTATCTAATAGGTCCACCATCAATTCGAAATACGACAATAAGGTCGGGGGAGAGCCATGTCGATCAGCTGGAGATCGGGACAAGCTCTCAAGGCAGACTCCGACGGCCAAAAAACAAAGGGAGGCCCCGGTAGAAGGCCACAATGCAGTCCGGAGGAACTCCTCTGAACAGCCTTGAGATCGAAAGCTTCAATCATAACGTTCAAAGGTAAAAGGAGATGGTGAGAAGGAAGAATCAAGCATGCCAACAGAAGTATTGAGATGGGAAAAACAATGCCAAAACGCCCTCATTTATAGGGGAAAAACGACACAGTCATCGAGGCTCTGGAAGATTGACCGGCAAATGCAATTACTGCTTCCTTGAAAAAACGTATCGACGGCAGTACTTTTTGCCTTAAGGAGCGGAAATGACAGAACACCAAGCATGAATCCATGGGATACGCCATCTATCACAAAGGTTGCGCCCCGATTCGCATCATCGATATGAAGTCGCTGAAAGGAGCTTGATGAGTCAAGAATCAGAATCATTTCCCATCACTTCGATATTGGAAACGCGGAGACTATATGTACGCGGCAAAATCAGAAGACTTGCTTTTTTGCTGTCAAGACATTTCGGAAGCTTGCCATGAGACCCCGAGGGCGGGAGGTCGCGATCGAGTTCTCAGCCTCAGGGCTCGTCGAAGCGAGATTTAGAGGAATCGGGGACCGAGGTCAGGATAGAAGGGGAAGCCCCCTAGGCACTCGGCTGTATCTGACAGGCCCGACCTATCTAGAGCCTACTGTGAGGCCTTGTATCAAGTCGTCCCATCTTTGTACTCTTGCAATTAATACACATGTACTTGTATCCGAGTTCCCCTCCTATATAAAGGGGACTCACCCTACCTTGCAAAGGGATGATGTTGCTCCACTTCTCCACAAATGCAATAATATATCTCTCTCTCTCTCTTTCTTCTAAATTGTCTATCTTCATCGACCTCGAGGTCGCCTTAGCACTTTATCATTTTCTCATTTGTTCTTCGTTGCTTTGCTCAATATTGATAATATAGAGCCTTGCTTAGCTATATTTTTGCCTGTTATCCCCTTCCCGACTGCCCTCGATAGCCCGAGATAGGCTCGAACCTCGGCCCCGAGGTGTCTATCGGCTGATCTTACGCCCGGGCAACAGCCCCCTACTGGTTCGGTTACTGCCTTGCTTAACTCGTTTTTTGTCACTTTACCTCACGCTTTAGCACTAACCGCCCTAATAAACTAGCTGGGGAATAGATCACGTATTTTTAGAATCCCATTTACAAATTTAATTGTTGTTACTATTTTTACGGTAAACAAGTACTAACATGTCGCGAAACGAGTTAATACGTGCAAGTACAAGTCCTACACCAACTATAAATATACATTGACACTCTTATTCTTACAGGAACAATGTAACACAACCTTCCTGGTATTTCACACTTCCTATTATATAATTATCGTACCCAATTAATTGAGAAGAATTAACCAAAAGCCATTCGTCCAACCACAAAATATGATGATTCCATCATGTTATCTCTTCTTCTTGGTTGCTAAAACCAGGCATTTTATTTATTGATGCGGGAATAAAGGATTACAAAGAGGGGGCTGAACGTAGAGTTACAGTCCCTTGCGAGTTCAAAAGTAAGTGCGGTAATAAAAAGGGTGGAAGGTTATCAAAAACTACAACATCCTGGTGTTGTGTAGGAGCCATTCGTTTTCCAAAACATGCCAAAGCATCCGCAATGCCATTACCCTCCCTATAGGAGTGTTGGACCTGTGGCATCCCTCTATTATCTCTTTTTTATAATAGAGGGATGTAAGTAAGTATTTTTAATTCACACGGATCGCATGCCACGACATTACAAAACATAAAAACAACAGAAAATCTTATTTGACAGCTTGTATCGAAAGCTATAATGATATATCTCTATATGAAGAAGGACACAAATATTATAAATAAGTAAACACCAAAGGAAGAAAGTACAATGGTGGGGCCGACAAGGAAATTCAAATGCAAGATTCTTCTTTTAAGAAAAGTTTGACGCCGTGAAATCACTCTCAGCAAGGTTGATAAGGAGTAGCGATCAAGTGTAGGTCATTCTTTCTAGCACAAGCTACTCCAGCTGCCTCAGTCAAGTCCAGTTCACTTGGATTGATTCTAGTTGGGAGTTTCCAGTCAAAGTGATATAACAATTGAGCCAGTGGAAAATAAACATTTGCTAAACCA